AGGGCCTTCCCCCTGTTGGTTGGTTGTGGTCTTCGCCGGTGCTGTAGTCTTCGCCGGCGGTCGAGGTTTTGTTGAGGGGCCTCCTCCCTGTTGGCTCTCTGTAGCCTTCTTGGCTACAGGCTTTCGAACAACTGAAATCAAATAAATAGTTAACAGGCTAGCAGTCGAAAGAGAAAGACAAAGTAATGTGAGAGGATGAACTTACATTTCTTTATTTTGTCCAACACAAGGACAAAAGATTTCTGAAGCTCATCCACGAAGTCCTTCTCGTCGAAAAACTCCTCAGCGTAATAACTTTTCCACCACTCCTCGAAGGATGGTGAGCAAAGAAAGTTGAGCTGGTAGTCAAACAACGAGAGAACTGTTCGACCAGCATATCTTCCGATATGCTTAATGGCAGCTTCTTCGGTGTAATCATTGCAGAAGTATAACATAGCCTTTTCTCTTGGAAAAATTGGAGAAGGTAGGGTTTGAATAATACCAAACTGGCGAGATACCAGATTTGGTTGGTATGCAATCAGACTCAGGTGAGTCTTAGAGCTCCTGAATCGAAGAGGCATGATCCTTGGTGTAAGGAACGCCTCCCATATTATTGTATGTTCGTCAACGTTAGGACCACTCGACGTCCTTGGATGTGGCCTTGTGAACCATGTTGGGCCTACCTTCCGTCGAGCAAACGGAGCCATAGTCGAAGCAAACTCCTTCCTTCGAGCAAACATCAGAACGAAGTTGGTGAAGGTTTGCTGAAACTCCAGTCCATCTTCCATAGGCGTCAACAGAGCCAGTCTGGTTCCTTCGATGCGTCTGTTCGCTATCTCTGGAGCCTGCTCATTTATTTGAACCTTCTTAGGCAAGAAAGATTCGAAGGTGGCATTGAGCCACAGTTGGAGCAGCCAGAAAGGCCCAGCAAGTAGCAAACTGGCCCTATTCTCGATAATTTTTAGAAGAGTTGCCCCATTACTAATCGAATCATAGAGGCTGGCCAAAATCAATTCTGCCAAACAGACATTTTGGCCATGATGGAGTTGAGTGGCGAGAGTGACCATCTTCTTGGTCACCTGTAAGGACTTCGAGCAAAATACAAAGCGAGTCAGCCATAAGGCTAGAAACGCTATGTGTTCGACATCCGACACAGCATCTGTCGACCTGTCGTGGTAGTGGTTGATGAAAGTGGTATAGGTTGGTTTGGTGTCAGAGAATCCAATTTGGTCCTCCGACATTTCCTCCGGATCGAAGTAGTCCCCGGTGGGTCGAAGGCCAGTGATAGCGGCCACATCGAAGAGTGTAGGAGTCAACATCCCACAGGGAAGATGGAAAGTAAAGTGGGAGTAGTCCCAGAAAAGCAGAGAAGCTATCAACATCTCCGGAGAATAGTTCAAACCTGTCTTCGACAGCATCACCAGGTCGAAAATCCCCATCTTTTTCCAGATCGAAGCTTGGCATTTCTCCATCTTTTCCAGCCAAGCAACGTAATCAGGAGTAAGGCTAGGGCCAGACCTGAAAGCCCTCACACCTTTGTTGAAGAAACGAAGGTCGATTTTCTCTTTTGCAGGCTCTTCATTGTCTTCAGCATCTTTCTTGGCGCATGCAACCGGTTTGAGTTTCTCAACTACCGGAAAATAACTCTTGATCTTCATGGCCTCAGAAATACTTGGATACAAGGGGCCAGACATAGCAAAGATCTGGTTGGAATATCCAACCGGGATCATAAGGTGGTGTGAGTAAGCATCATGTACGGCGATGTCCAAGGGTTCAGGGACCCTTCGTTGGCCCGTAGCAGTTACTACTGGAGCGGTGACGAAAACCTTAGGTTTGGCGTTTCCAGTTGGTACGGTAGCGCTAGGAGCATTGGAACCAGATGCCATTGTTAGTGTTGAGGTTGAAATGAGGTTGAAGACGAAGTGAAGGAGGAAAAGTTTCTGCAAAGATAACAAGTTTGTATGAAGATAGAGAAGTCTGAAAGCTAGATGGCGTAAAAAGTCCCACAATGGGGTACTTACTGCTATTTATAGTAGTGGGGGAAAATCCCCAAAACCGAGGACATTAAATGCCATTTAATGCTGCAGGAGATAGTGGGACGCGTGGCATCCCCCTGTTATTTTAGCCGTTCTGCAGAAATAGAGAGACGCAGCGTGCGTCCTCGTTTTTGGGAATTGTCATAATGACAAATTCTGAAATGACGTTTGGTACTGCACGCCGTACTGAGGTGACGTCTTAGGTACGGAAAAATGATGGTTTTCTCGGGATTGCTAGTGGTTGGTAGAAAACAACAAAAAGTGCACAATTTAATTTGTGACTAAGCGTGAAAAGATAGGTGTCGAATGGCGTTTCAAAGAATGCCTTTTTCTTTCAGAGTCGAAATAAGGCATTCTTGGGGGGCAATTTGTTGGCTCCTAAATTCGACACCCTTGTTTTATTAATGTCAGCCATTAAAGCTGAAGGATGTTTTCGACTAGCTAGGTCCGTCGAAATGCCCGTCGAAAGATGGCAAGGTACTTAAAAGATTTCTTCCAAGGGAGAAGTTGGTTGCCTTCGATGTCGAAGGAGTTTCTCGTCGAAGATGTTTCTCGACGAAGATGTTCGATGGTTCAGAGTGGAGCAGTTTGAAATTCAAGCGTTTGGAGGGAAAACGGTTTCCAGCGGTTACCAAGCGCAACGTGCGAAGATCTGGAGCGTCGAACGTGGAGAACGTGCCAAGTGGAATGATCTCGAAGCAGTGTAACTGCCCGACGGTTACTTGGGATGATTTAGTATAAATAGTAGTAGTCATGTAGTTTCTCGGGGGTGTTCACAATTCTATACAAAGTCACTCATATAGATTCGAGTACCCAGCGTGTGAGAAAGAATTGTTGAGAAATGTATGTGTGAAACACCAACTTTATTAATCAAAGTCATTTACTTTTTCCAGAAATTTACTTGCTTTCTTCTTTACATTTCTGTCGAACCCTTTCATTTAAAGCCTTATTTATTTTACCAAGTCCTTTCTTCATGCAATTTACTTAAAGCCTCTTTATTTTATTTAAAGCCTCTTCATTTAAAGCCTTATCCAATTTAATCAAAACTTCAAAATCAACCTATGTCCTAGGATCAATCTGATCGATCCTGCGAGTAACCAAATAAGTAACCATTTGGAGGATCAACGGTTGTTTACCAAATACCAAGGTAAACACTCCTACTTACTTCAGCATCAGAGTGCCTTGCAGGTACCCCCCACTTCGTTCAAAAAGCTTTCTGCTCGGAGCCAGCCGTGACGGTCCATTTCTGATCAGGTCAGATCAATTATGTATCAATTAGATATTATCAGAGATTTAGATGTTTGTCAAGTGAAAAATAAGTGATATAAGAAGAAGGATATTTTTTTTAGGAAAAAACTTAGGTGTGATTTATGTTATTTTTTAATGAAAATATGATAAGTGTATAATTTCCTTTTACACATATGTAATTTCTTTCTATTTTTACTCCTTAATAGATATTTAAGTATTTTTATTGGAGAAAAGTATGAACCACATCTATGGAATTGTATCTAAATATTTTCCTTTTTTTTATAATGTTTAGTATTACGATAATAAATTTCTGGTATTAAATATATTTATATTAAATTATATTATACTTTATTTAAGATTTTTTTAATTTTTTAAGTTGAAACATAATTATATTTTTGGATTAAAATACCTTTTACTCTAAAATATTTGATTATATAGAATTAAAAAAATTCTTTAAAAAAATTTTGATATTAATTTTAAAATAAATACTTGAGCTCTTTAAATATTTTTATTTCATTAAATAAAATATATATAAGTTATATTTTTGAAGATATTGACTAAGTATTGTATTATTTAAAAATATTATTAACTAAAAAATCTCATCATTTATTCTTTATTATTGACTAACCACATTTATTATCATACTTATGATTTCTTTAATTTTTTTGTTTGTTGAATTAAAAAAAATTTATTGTATTAAAACTGATGAGTTAGATGTTTTATTATTCATATTTTAAATTAATAATTAAATATTAAATAATATATTTTATGTAATTTAGACAAATTTTTTATTTTTCATTCAATAATAATTAATAAATAAGTCCTTTGAAAATAATTATTTAATATTTAAAAGGGACTCAATCATGTTTGTGTATGAATTTTGAATAATATGGATTTTTATGCTGTAATTTTTTTGATTTATAAAATTTCACGAAAAATATTATATTATAAATTCATAATATTTATTATTATTATTATTATTATTATTATTATTATTATTATTATAATATGTAGGGGGTGATAAATGACTTTTTAGGTTTTGTCTGTAAAAGCCTTGCAAAAAAATGGAGTGGAACGGACATAATTGATGATGAAAATCTAAAATCTAGGTCTCTCTTGAAAAAAAGTGATTGTAGGGTGAAAAAAGTCCGCGGACACTGCAATTTTAAGTTTAAAAATATAAAATTTTATGTTAATGTTCTTGTCGCAAAAGTTCGCGATGAAAATGTGGGAGAACGAATGGTCACATTAGAGAGTAAAAGCCTAAATTATTAACCCGTTCCACACTAAAATACAAAAAAAAAAATATATCTAATTGGTCGGACCCGTTTTACCACCTTAATTATATTTAAATATATTTACTAAAATATATTTATTTATGTAAAATAATATTTGAGGTAAAATAAATCCCTGTGCGGATTCATATGAGATCACATAATTAACCTGCTCCCTTTGGGTTGCAGTTGCGAATTGCAATTGAAGACAAGAAGCCATAGACGTGAATTTGTCACTTTCACCTACTCCAAACACCGAATTCAGCCAACCCAGAGAAAACCATTATTTAATACTTAATGCTTAAACTAAAGTTGATGTTTAAGACTGAACAAACGAACGAACGGTTACAAGTCACAGGTTCACCAACTGGTGGTTAAGGTTTTGAACCCATAATTTCAAGCAAACTAAACAACCACCATTATTTTCTTAATCCATCATCTTCCACACGTGACTAACTCAACAATGTTTCATACACTACCAATTATTTATTCCTTTTCAAAACAAAAAAATGTAACAGTAGTAGTAGTTGGTGTTGTAACATACTAACATTTTTGTAATTGGTTGGTACCGATCTTCCAATCATAAGCTGGTCGGTTCTTCTTTTTGTTTCAAATCAATAACATATTTCTTGTTCCAATTCTCATTTCTCTATCTCTGCTTTTCACCTCGCCTTAGGTATTTTTTTTTTTAATTTTATTTATTTTCATGTTTCATGTTCAATAGTACTGTAAATAATCATCATGTAGTATTGTAACTTATGATGATGATGATGTTTGTTTTTTCATGACGATGAATTGAATTTGATGATTAAAAAGCAGAAAATTAGAATGTTGCTGTGTGTTCTGGAAATGTTAAATTGCTTCATTCATATCATAATATTAATGTGCTTTTTATTGAAATTTGTTGTTATCAGAATAGTTGAGGTGGTGTTGCATATTGAGTACATCATCACCAAGCCAATTGTGTCTCAATTCTGAGAATTGAAAGAGATATCAAGCTGATTTCATTCTTGTGAAGATACCAGAAGTGAGGTTGTTCTTGTTTGGTCCCATCAAGTACTTTACAATGTATCCCAACCATTCATTCTCATCACTATCCTATGCGGATATGTTCACCGCGACCCCTCTGTTACCTCACAACTATTACAATGAATCTGTAGGAGAACAAAATGAGACAGTGTCAGTGACTATGCAGTCCATTGATCAACATTCCAATCCTTGCAACTCTCATTTAGATTGTGAGCAAACTATACAATGTCAAGGGTTATCTCTTAGTCTAGGGACACTTTTGCCTTCTACATCATCTATCCCTCCATTTCAATATCAGTATCACGACGCCGGTTTTGTATCACTGATGAATAATGCTTGTCTTCCAAAGGGAACTACAATATCTAATGATGATGACTTGAAAAGTGTTGAATGTATGACTTCTATATCTTCTGGAGGCTTTCATGACATTACCAAAAGGGAAACTTTTCATGACTATCATCACACTTCAGATCAATGCCTGCAGGGCTCGCCGTCGGGATTTGCTAACATTTTCTTAAACTCCCAATATCTTAAGGCTGCACAGGAGTTACTTGATGAGATAGTTAATGTCCGAAAGCAACGTGGAATCGAAAAACAAAACAAAATCCGCGGCGTTGGATTAAATAACTCCAAAGACACTGATGGAAAATGTACTAGTCAGTCTAGGCAAATATCTTCAGGCCCTAATGATTCTAATTCCAATTCTTCTAGCCAATTATCCTCAGCAGAAAGACAGAATTGGTTGGATACGAAAACAAAACTTCTGTCTATCTTGGATGAGGTAAAATACTTAGAAGTTAGAACCATGTTATATTTCATTACAATGCATCCAATCTTTCCATTGTCATAGTTTGTCTAGTCAGGTTCCCATTTACCTTGTTAGATTATGTTTAGTAGAAAGTAGCCGATAAGCTAGCTTATGCTTATGAATATAGTTTTTAAGAGGTTTGGTTTTGCAATCTAAAAAGGAGTAGCTGCGCAGTTTGTTTTCTGTTTACCTTCTATTTCTGTATAAACTTTAATTACTTGAATCAGAAGACTTACAATTACACATAATCCTCTCTTTGTGTTGGTTATAGGTAGATAAGAGATACAGACAATACTGCCATCAAATGCAGATTGTGGTGTCATCTTTAGACATGGTTGCTGGATGTGGAGCAGCAGAACCATATACCACACTTGCATTGCGAACAATTTCACGCCATTTTCGTTGCCTGCGCGATGCAATCAGCACCCAAATTCAACTGATTCAAAGGAACCTTGGGGAACAAGAAGGAATTCCTCGTCTGCGGTATGTGGATCAACACCTTAGACAGCAAAAGGAACTTCAGCAACTTGGTGTTACGCGGCACGCTTGGAGGCCTCAAAGAGGACTTCCTGAAAACTCCGTTTCAATACTTCGCGCTTGGCTCTTTGAGCATTTTCTCAATCCGTATGTGTTACTTCATAGCCGTACCCTCTAATCCTTTGCTTAATTTTTTTTTCAACTACTACAATAGTATCATATTATAGTTCTAATTCCAATGGTATCCTTTACTAGTTACCCGAAGGATTCAGAGAAAATAATGCTAGCTAGGCAAACTGGTTTAACAAGGAATCAGGTAGACTTATAATTAATCAAGCTATTATTATTAAACTTGCTGTTAATCTTTATTGAGACAATCATAATTTCATATCAGGTTGCGAATTGGTTCATTAACGCGCGTGTGCGTCTTTGGAAACCAATGGTTGAGGAAATATACAAAGAAGAGTTTGGTGATTCTGAGATAAACTACAATAATTCATCAGAAAATCCACTCATCAAAGGTAAAAGAGATTACTATACTCAAGAAATTGAGTCACAGGACAATGTACAAACTATTACTATTGATGGTGTACATGCCTGTTCCACTAAAGAACATGCAATGGATTATTATGAAAGTAAAAAATTGCATGGTGGTAACGAAAGGTTCAGCGTGAAAAATGGCTTTTATTCAGAAATAGCTTGTGATACTGCCACATATGATTTATCAGAGATTGGTGGTGGCCACCACCACAACCAACAACAACAACAACAACAACATGTCTCTCTTTCATTGGAGTTGAGGAACTGTGAAAGCGATGGCTTAGCCATATCAGATAATGCCAATCACAAAAGACACAACATCAACAATAATAATATTAATAATCAGATTTTGTCTTCTTCTTCAGGAAAGCAACAACACAGGTTTGGCAATACTCATTTGTTGCATGAGTTTGTCGTATAAAATCTAGCAAAGATATTTTTATTTTTTTACTATCACTATGATTTTAAAGGTATCTCTGAAAAGGTGTACTTTCACACAAGACTATGCTGCTGTTTTCTTTTTCATTCATTCGCGTTGCCCTCATTGTTCATAATAGAGATGTAATTTCACAAACGTACAAAATATACAGATAGGTATATATTGTATTTGTAGATATTCATTTTCATTTGCTTGTAATGATAATAATAATAAATAATAATAATAATAATAATAATAATATTACAGAGGATTGGTTTCATGATATCTGCAGGCAATTTTTTTGTAAAAGGATAAGGAACATGTTTCATGCATTAATGTTGTATAAGAAATTTAATTTTGTGTGAAAAAAAATTGGTGACATGTACGATGTGAATGTCATGACTTTTCTTTAGTAATTTTCATTCACAACATGTGGTATGGTGTGATGTGGTCCAAGTACACACTTTGGTTTGGTCCCTCCAATAATAACTTCCTTGGAAGCAATTGAAGAGGAGAATAACATATTTGTTTAGCCTATTTTGTTGCATGATTGATATTGCCATGAGTTTTATCAAATTACATGAAGTCTTTTTGATTTTTCAAATGTTACAAAGTATGTGTTTGATTTTTTGTGGTAACAAAACATGATTTAAAGTGACTTTATTCTATCAAATTAATTTTAATTATTAATAGTGAGTTGAATTTAAATTATTTATGTACAAATTTAAATCTATAAAAAAAATTGAATAATGATTTTGAGGTCGATACATCTGTTTTTCAGGTCAACATATTTATTATAATTTTAAATTATGTAGTTTTTGATTTGGTTCAGTCGAGACATAGTTTTATACAGGTCGACACATACATCTTAAAAATTACGTATGTGTCGACACATACGATATATAGTTTGACACAAATTAATTGTTTGATCAATTTTTTTCAAATCTTTTTAATTTCAAATTTGTCGTTTTTGCCCTAAAAGTTCTAAAACTATAAGTACTCATTCATGCATAATTCATACATTGGTGATACCATAAAATTAGCCTACAATTTCTCTTCATCTTCAACCTCCCACCTATGCATACACAGTGACATTACATTGTGATGATGTTTTGTTGGGGTGTCATCTATACGAGGTTTGATAATATTCAATTAGGTATTGGACTGAGTTTTGTAGGGGTCTTCATCCAGAAAAACCGCGGGTTTGTCCTCCAAGATCATTGGTTGGTTTGGGGGTTTTCGTGCAAGACGTTCAAGAGATAATTGCGGTCAAGTGAAGTCCCTTGGAGATAAAGAATGTAATGGATTCTTTGGAGATAAAGAATACAAAAGAAGTAATGAAAGAATGAAAAATTACAATTGAAGTATTGTGTTGTAATAGTTGAAATTGACGGTGTACGAAAGCTTTAGAGATAAAGAACACAAAGGAGTAACAACATCCAGATAGTCAATTTTCATCTATTGTGTCTTGGTCTTTCTCAAGATCAAAAGAGGAGAAGGGGTTGGATCAACAACAAACATTAGGATTAGTGGAGTTACTCTTGAACACTTCTCTTGTATCAACTTTTTGTAGTAAGAATTATCACAATTCCATTAGAATTAGCCGCAGACGTACTCACACACGAGGACAAAAGTGGGGAACTATGAAGATAAATTCTTTTTGTCTCTTTTATTTTTCCTTTTACTTGCTTTGATATTCATCGATCAATTTGACAAATAGAATTGCATTATCAATTGAATTGTAAGAAATTTTTTGAACTATTTTTTATTCTAAATCAAGTGTTGATATAGCTTATAATCACTTTTGATTATAAGTGGTTTTGTGTATCAACACAACTCAAGAAAAAATTCTGAAAATTCACTTGCACACCAAGTGTTTGATAAATTAATTTAGTTAGTTCTTTTTAATATTGTCATTGGAAATAACTTTATTAGTAACTTGCAATAAACATCAAATAAGTTGTAAAGTGATTCAAGCATATTAATTTCATTCGTTGTTCTTATTCCATATTGAATTTGTTTTTACGTTTGCATATCAGAGTTTCTAATAACGTTCATAAAGACGACATTTTAAAAAGCTTCCGCTAATCTCTTTGATAAAATAAAATTTTCAAAACCAGATTTTTTTTTGGAATTTCTTAAAGGGGTATCTATTCATTATCCTCTAGATATGTTACCGTCATCTAACAAGTGGTATCAGAGCCCGGTTCATTCCGGCTTCGACACTCATTAGAAAATGGCTTATGAATCTAAATGAGATTATAAAAGAGCCTCAATTTTCGGAGGAGAAAATTATAGTTACTAGAAAGCTTGTATGCAAATTTATGTCAACTCATATGACAAAGGTGTTTGGGAAGCTATTCAAAATGGTCCAACATCGATGACATATGTTGTTGATTGTGCTAGCGTACCAAAGCCAGAAAACTTATGGGATGAGAATGATAATAAGAAGTGGTCTTGTGATTGGAAAGCTAAGAACATCATCATATCCGCTCTTGGTGTTGATGAGTTATATCGCATTTCTAATTGTCAAATCGCTAAAGCTATGTGGGATGCTCTATAAGTTACATATGAGGAAATTAATAAGGTCAAACAAGCTAAAATTAATACACGTAATCAATAGTTTGAACTCTTTTGCATGAAACAATGGGAACCCATTGCTCAAATGAAAAAGCGGTTCTCGCATCTTATTAATTATTTAAATTTACTAGGTAATCCTATTTCCAATGCTATTGCTACTAACAAAGTGTTGAGATGTCTTACTAGGAATTGGAAACCAAAGGTCACCGCGATCAAGGAAGCCAACAATCTTGCAACACTCGATCTCACTGCTTTATTTGGAAAGTTAGAAGAACATGAGTAAGAACTCAATTGCTTGGATAAACATGAAAAAAAGCTTGAGAAAAAGAAAAAGAAAAAAAAAGGTTGTTAATGAGGAAGTATTGAAGTCTAAAGCTCTCAAGGCTTCAAGTTGAAAGTCCTCAAGGGATGAGTCCACTAATTATAGTGACTTTAGCGATGAAGAGAATTCAGATGATGAAGAAATAGGATTATTTGTAAGGAAATATAATCGATACATTTGAAAGAATGCTTTCAAACACTCCGATAATAATCTCGTCAAATTTAGTAGACAATCTTCTTCCTCTAAAGACGAAGACAACAAAAAGGATAAGGCAAAGGGTATTTGTTACAAATGCGAAAAACTGGGTCATTATATACCGAATTGTACATCTCTTGCTAAGAAAAAAAGGAAAGGATCAACGAAACAACTCTAGAAATTCTAGACAAGCCTATGTTGCTTGGGATAGTTATAGTGATGTCTCAAGCAATGAAAGCTCAACGAGAGTGATGAAGAGGCAAACTATTATTTCATGGAAAATCATCGTCAAGGAAAGAAAAAGGATGTAAGTAATTCTAAATACTCTAATATTATAAAATTTTCTTTTAATGATTTGAAGAATCGATTTGAAAATCTACAAAAAGAGACTTTATATGCTAACAAAAAGTTGGCCTCCCAAGAAAACATTTTTTACATATTTAGAGGCCAAGGTTGAAGAAACAAATGAACAATTTGAGGCATTAAAGAAACTCATTGTAGATATTTCAAATTGTATAAAGGGGGATGAAAAATCTTGCAAATTTGAATGTGAAACATGTCAAATTTGGTAACAAGAAGTGAGTAATCTTGAAACCAAATTGGAAAAATACATCATCCCATTAATACTATTACTATTAGATGTTAATAGGTTGAAAAACATAATAAAAACTATAACTTGATTAAGAAGAAGTCTAATAGCATAGGTGATTCTCATCATAGGTTATTTTGTCACTATTGCTGCAAAAAAGACCATACTATTGAAAAATGCAAATTTAGGTGCTTTTTGGTTCCTAAAAGCAATTTCCAATGGTTGTCCAAATGCAATAATTATTTAACTCACTCTCAAGTATCCAATGAGAATTGGGTACCTACCACTTTTATTTTATTTTTGTAGGATGATTGTCTTGATGCTATGACGGGAAAATGGATTCTCGATAGTGGATATTCAAGACACATGACGGGAGACTTATCTCTCTTCTCCGACTTTGTGGCGAAAAAGAAAGGTTTTGTATCCTACGGTGATCACAACAAAGGTGCAATACTTGGAAAAGGTAGTATAGGTAATCCATCAATTATTACTATCTCAAATGTTATGTTAGTTGAAGGCCTTAGACATAGTCTTCTTAGTATTAGTCAATTATGTGATAATGGGTATAAGGTAACTTTTGCCAAAGATTGTTGCATAATGGAACATAATGAAAAGAAAGATTGTATGTTTAAGGGTGTGAGCTTTAGTAATATCTATATGCTTGACTTAAGAGAAATTTCCTTGAATAATGCCCAATATCTTGTTACCTTGAGTGAAGGCTCTTGACTATGGCATAGACCTTTGCTCACGTCAACTTTGTTCTACTAAATAAAATAGTTACAAAATATTTAGTAATTGGTCTACCAAAAATAAAATTTTCAAAAGATCATCTATGTGATGCATGTCAAAATAGTAAGCAAACAAGAGTCTCTTTTAAATAAAAAAATGTTGTTTCAACATAGAGACCACTTGAGCTCCTTCACATGGATTTATTTGGCCCCTCACTGACTAAAATCATAGGTGGTAATTACTATGGTCTTGTAATTATAGATGATTACTCAAAATTTTGTTGGACTATTTTCTTACGTAGCAAAGATGAAATGTCCCCGACTTTAACACGTTTTGCCAAGTTAGCTCAAAACAAATTAAATTAATTTTTTTTGTCATTCGAAGTGATCATGGAGATGAATTTGAAAATCATCTCTTTGAATAATATTGTGATAAATTTGAATTGAACATAACTTTTCAGCTTATAGAACTCCACAACAAAATGGTGTTATGGAGCTAAAAATCGTATTTTAGCAGAGTTGACAAGAACAATGCTCAATAATTATGGTCTACCAAAATATTTTTAGGCTGATGCTATTAGCACAACTT